CGTGTGCTCTTCCGATCTACAAAATGACGACCAAAAATAAACTTTCGAAAGCGTTCTACAGCAGTAACCAAAGCTAGCGCTTCCTTTTCAATCTGGCTATAATTCTGCTGAGCTTTCGTTAAAGTTTTTAACATGTGAAAGACAGCTTTCGTATGTCCATCTGGAGAGCGTTGTAAAAGAACACCTCCTATTCCCGTTGAACTCGCATCCGCAGCAACAATTAAAGTTAACTTAGGATTATAATGAGCCAACAAAAGAGGTCCTGAAAGAATTTGTTTAATGTCGTCAAAAGCTTTCTGCAGTTTAGAATTCCACGTAAAAGAAGCATCTTTCTTCAAAAGAACTTCGAATGGTGCCTTTAAACGATGAAGATTTTCTACAAATTTTCCGTAGTAATTAATAAGGCCTAAGAATGAACGTAGTTCCTTGACATTTCTCGGAATTCGCATAGAACGGATTGGATGTATTCGTGAAGGATCCGGTTGAATTCCATCTGACGAAATGAGGAATCCGAGATATCTTACAGAAGTAGAATTGAACTTGCATTTTTCCAAACGTAGACGGAAACCCCATTCTTCAAGCCGAGTTAAAACTGCATGTAATCGAGCGTCGTGCTCGGAATGTCCACGGCCGCAGATAAGAATATCATCCAGGTACACTACAACTCCAGATATACCTGAAAGCACTTGTTCCAGAGTACGCTGAAAGATAGCTGGAGCTGTTTTCAAACCGAAAACCAAACGATTATAAGCAAATAAACCTCGATGCGTATTAATAGTCGTATATTTTCGGCTTTCATCATCGAGTTTCAAATGTAAATAAGCATCGGAGAGATCAAGCTGCGAAAAGATCGTATTACCCCGAAGCTTAAATAAAATTTCTTCAATATTCGGAATTGGGTAATCGTCTGTATCTAAAGCATTATTTAGACCAGTAGAGTAGTCTGCACATACGCGAATTTTACCATTGGCTTTCCGCGCAACGACAACAGGTGTAGCCCATTCCGAGTAATCTACCGGAGAAATTATTTTGTTCTCGATGAGTCTGTCCAGTTCAGCATTAAGTGATTCCTCGAGAGCCAAAGGAATAGGACGACGAGGAACATGTACAGGACGTGCATCGGGTTTAAGACGGAGGTGAACTTTAATCTTCTTACATTCCCCCATCGAATTATCGAAAAGTTTTGAAAATTTACCTTTGAGTGAATCCTCCTGGATCACATTAATGAGTTTCCGATTCTTCAAAATATCACGATCAAAAGCAATCAAATCAAGTTCGTCGATAGCTTGTGCGCTGATTAGGGCAATATTTGGACAATTGAGAACTATAATCGGTCCTCTTGAAGTCTTGTCCTTGTAGCTCAGAGTAGCGTAGAAAAATCCCACAACATGTATCGGATGACCAGATGCGTTTACGCAAGAAGCAACATAAAGTTGAAGTTTTGGACAGCCAATCAACTTCCAAACCTTGGTTCCGATAGTAGTTACATCCGCTCCTGTATCCAGTTGCATCTTCAACAATTTATTGTTAATAAAAATATTTGCAAACTTACGATGTTGATGTCCTGTGCCAAGTATTCCTTGTAATTTGATGACACTAATCTCCGATTTAGTCTTTGACCTACAGATTTTCGCGATATGTCCTACTTTATTACAAATGTGACATTCCGCTGTTTTAAAAGGACAATCAACTCGTTTGTGGTTAGTAGCACCACAGCTATGACAAGGCGCGAATGTACCATTCTCAAATTCCTTAGCTTTCTGGCAGGCATTATTATAGTTCGAGCGATTTTTATTATTGTAGAAATGATTCGAACTTTTGTTCGTATGATTTTTATCATTGTTGAAGCGATACAAATTCTTACCTTTATCTCTTTTAACTTGCTTAACGATAGCAGACTTCTGCAGAATGCGAACCTTCAACTCGCATGACGTCAGCTGTGCGATCAGCGTGAGCATAGCAAATTTCACGTACGTTGTTAAACGTACAGGATTCCTTCTCAGAAACTAACTTGAAAACAACAGTCCTTTCCAAATGATAAGAATGATCAGAAAGTGCAAGCGCAGTTAAGAGAATCTTCAGTTGATCAATCTTGAAGTTATCAAACTCGAAGTTGTCTCCCAAAATGTTGATTCTGTCGAGAATTTCAATCATAGTCATTGGCGATGAAGCTCGAAAATTGAGAGTTTCATAACGACGTTGAAACAGCGTTTTGTTGTCATGAAACTGTTTCTTTAAATACGCAATAAGATCATTAAAAGGCAA